TATCGCTTCCCCGCGATCATCACAAAGTGAAAAAAGCCCATAGGGACCATCGCAAAGCAATCGCTTTTGCGATTGCAAAAAGTTAGTCACTAAGCGATTTCATCGCTCAACGGAGCGATCACTATGCGAGGCACCACTGTACTTAGAGCTTATATGGACTATCTGGATAGGTTGGTGAATCTTAGGACCTGGTGTTAGCAGTTCAATTCCCTACAATGCCTTTTAGGAGAAGGGTTGGCCAGTGTAGAAGCTATATGACATCTGCATAACCCCAGAAGAAAGGAATTGTAATTTTAATCTAAGTACTGTATACCTGGGAAACTCTGGAAATGGTTGCCGTAATCTGGAATTGATTTGATGGCAATTAATAAATTAGTTAATGTATAAAGTAGTGGCTCAAGTTACTTGTAACTATCTTAGCTTTTTGGTAAAAAGGCATGTTATATTAATATTTTGTTTGCTTGTTTAAATGATTTGAGTGAAGTCCCTGTTCAAAGACTGATCAGTGGAATGAATGTACTCACAAATCCCCACTGATTGAGTGGGTCTTCTCTAGTGTGACCTGTTATGCCAATCAACAGGATTTCAGTTGTTGTCTGTGAGCAAGGTGGCATATAAACACAAGGGAAAAGTCCATTCAAGTTAAATACATTAGATCTTATTTATATCTGTGGGAGAATTGTACGTGTTTTAATATGCTTAATTCACCTCTTGAAAACAATGCCATTTTAAAGCACTTACTGTTTGCTGACACTGCTTTGCTACTTTTAATGGTGGAAGAAACTGGTGTGGCAACTTGATTATGCTCCACTACTGAAACTTTCTCAGTTCTTCAATATTTTCAACTTGGTTTTATATAGAGATGGGGGTATATAGGCACCCAAGGGATGGTATTACAACAGGCTACCTGATTTGAATTTTGCTCTCTATATCAAATCCCAGTCAGCTTGTGACTTTAAACCACAGAGGTTAACTATTTAAAAAATCATTAATACCCAAACTTTACAAAACTTTTCAAAAATAATAGACTGGAATCTGTGGAGGTAACAGCTGAGTTGGCATTACAAAGCCCCAAAAATGAAAACTAAATTGCCCAACTGAAATCCTTCTCTTGCACTGCTCATTCACTCTGAGAGCTGAGGAACAGAAAAATAAGTGGAATGAGTGACACAACTATATTGACCTCAAGTAGCATAGAAGGCACCCAGGATTTGGAAAGCTAACAAGACAGGAGGTAAATGAATAAATGGGACAACATGGCCCATGGGATTGGCACAAATCATCTTTAAATGAAAACAATCCCTGAAAAGTTACTAGATTTCATCTCTCAAAATTAACCTAGTTTTTGGAGGGGCTGATTTTTGTCCCACCTATGCCAAAACTCCAAATGAAAAAAAAATGGATTAAATACATTGGTGAAACACCTATTTCAGGCCTTATGTGGCAGAGGAATGAGTTGCAGGAGAAGTTCAGTGGTAGAAGATAGACCTCCATATAAAACTTCCAATCTTCAATCTCTCATCAAACAACAAAGCTGGAAAAGAAATCCTGTCCGAATTTGCTGCTAGAATGGATAAGATGATAATAAGAGCAGTGTCAGCTTTATACAGTATACCCAAAAGTAATGTCTTTACTCCTTTTTGATACCTTTCAGTAATATCCAAGTCACGTTCCCCACCTACAGTTCTCACATCTTCTCCAAGGAAATGTTATCCAGATGTGTACTATGAGCATGCAAGACTTACTCTTCCATCTTCTTAGCATTCATGACAGTGAAACGCGATATTAACCAGAATATGTATTTCCCTATGGTTCACCTGTTCCCTTCCACATCAGGATTTCCTTCAAAATATATGCCTCGACAGTCTGAACTGCAAATTAAACCCCTGTTATGATCAATCACAAATGAAAGCACACTAAATGCAAGGTACATAGTTGAGGAAAATCCCATGCTATAACAGATGCCTTTCTCCACTTGGTGGATCACCTGTGCCAAAAAAGCCCCACAATATACCTATGCTACTCCTATAATTTGACAAGTGATGCCTGGATCTGCTGCTGTTATGTAATTTCTTTTCACTCATTCAAAACCCTAATTTCAAATATGTTCCAGAGGTTGCCAGATGGAGACAAGTGTACGGCCTAGACACATACCAGACATTTTCTTTCTCCTTCCCCATTTCTGGTTGCCTGTGTTATTTCAAAGAGTCCTTTTCCATATACTCCATTATTATGTCAGTTTTAACCACCCTACCTGGGATCCTCTGGGGCTTTTCATGGTATAAACTTCTCAGAAATTATTTACTAGTCCCTTCCTCTGATAGCACCCTGCAACTGTGCAGCTTGCCCAAGCTCACACAGATGGCAAGACACTGATCCCACAAACACTCTGGGAAGTCTTGGCTGACCCTTTTCCTGGGCAGACACAGTGGGGATTCAAACTCCTGAGCAGGTGCTCCAATCTACTGAGCTATACCAGTTCTCTTTGTGTCCTATAGAGATAGAATCCAAAATCTTTCCTTCTTGTAGAGGAAACTACTATTTCTGTTTTTGTTTTATTTTTATTTTTAAACAAGCTTTCTTTTCTTTTTCGAGTTTTCATCAGAACAGTCTGTTTGATTGTTCATGACAAAGATTTATATTTTCCTGCCAGTTGCAGATTCCTGTTTTGAAGTAACCAAACGTTAGGGGGGAAAAATCTAAAGCAGTCTCTAATTGTTAGTTAGGTGTAATCAATTATTCTTAGTTTGTGTAGTCAGGTGTACATAATAAGCTGCAAACATATGGGAAAGCTTCAGAAGGCTGATATTGCATGCAAACAAAAACATGTTCAACATAAATAATGCTTAATTTAATGGAGAAGTTAATTTCATGGATTTTAGTTCGCAAAGTTTTTGAAGTGGAAATACTTTTTGCCTTTATGTAACAGCCTTATTTACAATTAACTGTTTCCAGTCACTGGGAAAGCAACAGCTTGGATTTCAGTCTGTTTCAGTGTGTTCTGTGATAGATACTTTCTGTTCTTCTTCCCTCACCTCGTCATTTTCTCTTAGATTTTTCAAGGCTGCATTGAATGTAAGTTGTGAAATAATGGGTTGATGCTAGCTGTTTGGCAAGTTGTCTGACTCTCCATGTCTACCCCTGACATGGTGGAAGTTGTTTAAACAGATTTTTTTTTAAAAAAAGCCAGAAGTGTTGTGTAGAGCAGTGGTCCCCAACCTTGGGCCTCCAGATGTTCGTGGACTACACCTCCCGGAATCCTTCATCACCACCTCTGCTGGCCAGGATTTCTGGGAGTTGAAGTCCAAGAACATCTGGGGGCCCAAGATTGGGGACCACTGGTGTAGAGGTCTGCACCACTGAGCCACAAAGCCACTGCTGCAGCAATGTTAGCTCCTGGTTCTATGTATGTATACCACATGGGGTAGAAGTTGGGGCTAGGTTGCCACATTAATGAAAGAATATATGTTGTGTTCTTTGACTTGCTATAGATTTATCTTCAGTTCTGCCCTCTGGTCCACATCGTGGCTGAAATCCAGTAGTAAGTCACAACTTGAGTAGGCCCATTGAATCAGTGGGGGTATGGTGAGTCAACTGCTCTGCAAGGTGCATTGATTCAGGGTGTGTGCATGGCCAAAGACCCCTACTGGGACCTTGAAAAGGGCATGGGTTTGTAAGGTAGTTCTAATGGGTAGGCTGGATTTGTTCCCAATTTTGATTTTCATTGTGTATATGTTTATCAGAAATCCATGCAGGCTGCTGCTACTGCTACTGCTGCTGGTAACTGCTGCTGCTGCTATTACTAGTACTACTACTATTAAAAAAATACAAGACACAGTCTTTGATTGATATTATATAGCTGAAACACATTTTAACCAAAAATCTAAGTATTAGCTAAATATTGGTGGAATATGTCTGCTGTTCATAATGCTGCCATTTTGCAGCTCTGATGAAGTTAATTCAGTGATTTGCAGCTCATTATAATATTGTATAAAATTCTGAACCCATCATATCATGCCAAGCTTCTACCTCTGAATCTGTAAAAATCTGAATTAAATTAAATTAATACACTAATCAATTTTTTCCCTCAGGCATGGCACGTTGTTGTGTTGTTGATTTCAAAGTTTTATTCTGAAAATAAAATAGAGTAACTACCATGTTTTCTCTTCAGACAGATTTATTTTTCTCCCCTGGTTTTAATTTTAGCACAAATGAAGCTGTGTTGTTCTCAGCACAAATATTATAAGTGATACTGCATGCAGAGCAACAGATTCTACCTATACGAGAAGGCTTTCACGGCCGGGATCTAATGGTTGTTGTGGGTGTTTCGGGCTCTTTGGCCGTGTTCTGAAGGTTGTTCTTCCTAATGTTTCGCCATATCCCCAATAAGTTTCCATGGCTGAGAGCAGGGAATTTGAACCCAGGTCTCCTGAGTTATTGTCCATCACTCTATTACACCACACTGGGTATCTCATAATGGTCTTAGCTGTCATTTTAAAAATTCATTCTCTCATGCATCCATATCTTACTCGTAAATCCACAAACAAAATAAACAAAAGAAGCCTTAAATTGTCCTACTGCTATCCTATTTATTTCATTTGACTCAAAGGAACATAACAGAGGGGTTAGTTAAAGATTAGAGGTTTGTGTTGTAGGCTTATCAGTATAGATAAATGAGATTTTTCTCTAAATTAATTAAAATAATTAGCTTTATTTATAAGTGCCTCTAGCCAATACACAAATACAGAGATTGTTACCTTAAACAACTGTTAGTGCCAAGGTTAGTGTTCATCATTTTGAGGTACCTATTCCTTCCATTACCCTGTGAATACTATTAATTTCTTCATATCGAGCAATGACTATATATGCTTTCAAAGATTTTTCTCAAAATATTCAGTTAAATTTTAAAGGAGATATTCCACAATGTGGATTTTTAAATTAAAAGTATGTTTCTTAGATAATTTATCTTTCTTCTTTTTATTTATTTCATCATTTTAAAGGTTTCTTAGATTGGGTTCCTAAGAAAATGCAAAGAGTAGGATGTGTTGAGCTGCTGAATACAGTCCAGAGACGAATACAGCCCCGACTTCATGTTTTTGGACATATCCATGAAGGTCAGAAAGTGTGTGTGTATGTGAGGGAGAGAGAGAATGAGAGTGTGTGTGAGAAAAGAGACAATTCCAGGTGGAACTTTTGGAGATGGAGCCCTCTTCAACAGATGAAGGAATCCACCACAAAATGAAGTGGTTCAAGTACAGTGTTGTCATTCAGATGTGCTAATATAGGTTTCAAGTGAATGTTGACCATTTTAGCTACCTTGAATTTGAAAAAGAACAGCCATAATATCCCAAAGAGTAATTGTTTGCTAGCTTTATGTACATAAGAACTTAGTACCTTAAATTATTTTGTTTTTCTGGTAGCAGTCAGTTCCTCTGTATTCTAAAATTAAGTAAGGTGTGTCTCCACTGGAAAGAATCACTTTGGAAAGGGTCACTTTGCTGGGAACGATCTCCCTTAAAATCACCCTTCCATCCATATGGGAGTTGTTCCAGCGCATCCTCAAAAAGGAATAGCCCTGCCACTGGACCAAAAAGGTTCAGCTTGGACATAGAGCAAGTCAGGCTGGTTAGCAATCTCCTAATGCAGGGAATACTTACCAAATTTATGGATGACACAAAATTGGGTGGAATGACTAAAGCAAGCCTTGGAAGACAGGAACAAATTAAAAAAAAATATCTTGATAGACTTGAACATTGGGCTAAATACAACAGAATGAAATTTAACAGGGATAAATGCATAGATCTGCACCTAAGGGGGAAAACACCAAACACACAGTTGCAAGGTGGGAAATACTTGGTTCAGTGTTACTAGGAGTGAGAAGGATCTTGGAATTGTAGATCACAAGCTGAATATGAGCCAACAGTATGATGTGTCTTCAAAAAAGGTAAATGCTGTTTTACACTGCATTAACAGATGTACAGTCTCCAAATTAACCAACCAATCAATTTTGGTGCCATGTTTAAATTTACATAAATTTGTGACATAATCTCGCTCTTATGTCTGAGGAAGTGGATTTGATCAGTGAAAGCTCACATTAAAATATAAGTTGATCTTCAAGGTGCCAAAATGTTTTTATTTTTTTCATTTTTTTGTTTTTGCCTGATATACATAGAAACAATTTGTAAGTCCCACCAAATATGTAAATTCTTATATCCTGACAATTGTAAATTAACTCTCTTAGAACACAACGGCTAGGATTTTCACAAGCACATGTCTGAGCAATGCCAGTTCAGCTTCACTTGCACTGAAGGAGTAACACAAATGCCATTCAGAACTAGACTGATGAGTAAGTTGTGTCTGTTTTGGCAACATACACATTAAAATTTGAGCAGAGTGTTATAGCAGCACTGCTTACAGAGTAAGCAGAATGATAAAGGGGACAGAGTTCTTATTGCAAATGACAAGAATTTGAAGAAAACAAATGGGAAACTGCAAACTTTTGAGATATTTGAGGTCCTTACAGCTGGGTTTCCCAAGTAAGTCATCACAGCTAAGTTCAACACTACAGGCTGTTCTTCATAGGTTGATAGCATGCAGCAAGCAGATGAATTATGCCTCACACTAAATAGCTACATCTGCAGTAGTTATTTTCTGCCTGTCTGAAAAGAATAAATAACTGACTGTTCTCTCCCCACTAAAACTATTTTCCTTGCCAAAATTATCCCAACCTGAACTTATATTCCATGTTGGTCCATTGCTAATGGTGACAAAATCACCATTATTCTAGGGCTGCTGTCAACTCCTTCTTCTTTAGTAAGAACTTACTTGCTCACTCTGTTTCAAATGCTTGAGAGGTGCTGAAATCGTCAACTGTTTTATCTTTCCTGCACAGACACATACTCTAACTCTCTGTGCCATTCACCAGCACACATATTATTGCTGGTTTGAATAACCGATTCTGTTAAAAATGAGATTTGGTTAGAGACTGTCTGTCTTTCACTGAACAAATTCCTGGCTGATTTTCTAAGAAACACTGTCTGATGAGATGCATGACCAACAAGGAAATTTGTGTAACATATCTTATTTTGGCGCAGCAGTGGGGAAAGGGGGGGGGGACAGTGTGACTCCCAAGAGATTTATTCAAAACACTAATCTGATTAGAGACAATTGGCTCCAGAGAAGATGAGTTGGGTATAGTCTCTAGTTTGTTCACAGTAGAACCAAGAATAACTTCAGGATATCTCTACTAAACATGATCCTCCTGTCTGGAGACATTTTTTAAAATAATTGTTGAAATTGGTTGGAGAAGTTAAGAATAGTTCCTGTAAATACGTTGAGAATGACGTTCAAGGAGACATCAGTGGTGCCATGTCCTTTCTGCAGTGTAGCAATGCATTAAAATCCTGTCATCATAATGTCACAGTGGAGAATGCTGCTGGATATAAACCCTCTTCTAGAAGATTTGGACACAATATAACCTGCGAAGCACCACATTCTCCAAAGTGACAGAAACCCCTTTTGCCCCCACAACCCCAGAATAAAGACGTGAGACAGATAATATGGGTTAAAACACGGTCCACACTTTATTGATTGAAAATTCAAATTAGCTATCCTTTGGCAAAGGGGAGGCCTGCTGTAGTGTGGAAACAGGTAAACCACAGATATATCCAAATACCCCTTAATCAACAGATGGGTGAGTCCCCGGCCCCAGGTTATCATAGTCTTAAAGACAGCAGGGACCCAGCCAGCCACTAACAGACACCCCCAGACCCCAAGCCATCTTTAGTTGATGACTGTTGGTCTGGAAGTGGCCCAGCGCATCTCTCCCCCCCCCACAAATCACTGTAATTGCACAATCTGCAGTGCTGGGAGGTCCGATGCACTGTTAACTTACCTGATCTTACAGTGGGACTCACCAGAAAATACCTGTTTTTTCTGCACTACCCGCCAGTGTGACCAGAATTTCCACCAAAAATGCCAACGCCCTGTTCCAGTGTGGGATAGGAGCTGCACTACCCGCCAGTGTGACCGGAATTTCCACCAAAAATGGCAATGCCTTGTTCCAGTGTGGGATAGGAGAAAAATTCCCCCCATCCAAAGGCCTATCAGGATGAAGGTCAAAAATTCCTCTCTAGCCCCAAAGGCGACCAAAGGGCAGCTCGAAGGGGAATGCCTCTTAAGTAACCTGGTGTACCCCCTTGCTCTTTAGACCTCTCGAGAGACCCTCAAGTTCTCGCGTTATCCGGGGATGGGAGGCAAAGAGCTGCCCACGCTGCCCGAAGCCTTTCTGGCCTGGCAGTGGCCGCAACATTCAGCTAACATACATAGCCAAACTATTTGCACTATGCAGGATCATAACACTTCTCTTGCCTGCCACTGATTTTGATAGTTGACTTAAAGCAAAGCAAAAATATAACTACTCAAAAAGACCTTTCTTTCTTTCTTTCTTTCTTTCTTTCTTTCTTTCTTTCTTTCTTTCTTTCTTTCAGGTTATGGAGTTATGGCTGATGGAACTACGACCTATGTGAATGCTTCTGTGTGTACAGTGAATTACCAGCCACTCAATCCACCTATAGTTATTGATTTGCCCACACCAAGGAACACTTGATTATTGCAGGATGTAAATATGAAACTCTCAGCCTACACACAATATTAGCAGCTCTGTGTTGCTTGCTGAAAATGATAAGTGAACATACATTAAATTACAAACATATTTTTCTTCTTTCTTTATGGACAAATTGGAGAGTCAAAAATGAACAGAAAGCAAAGGCATTTGGTATTCACAGGCTTCTAGGAGTACCTTAATGAGGCTAGCAGTTCGTTGTTTTTAAAAAGCAATCTAATACAAAAGGAGATGCCTTCTATATGGAGAGATGTTGATGCATTTTGTATATTCCATGTTATCTTGAACATACTAAATGAAGAAGACTCTTCAGCAAAATGATTCATTCCTAATATCTGCGGTTCTACTTGTGTGCTGCTAAATATTAGCATTTGTTTATTTAAAACTGGCTTCACAAGATAGTCATGTGGGCAAACAAAACTGTGCCATGTTTTTGGAACTGTTACAGCAGGTATAATACAGTATCCCTAGATATTTAAGAGGTTAAAGGAAGCACAATTCTTATTCTTCTCTTTTCAAATCAATACCGCTCTAAACCCAAATCCTGTTGAAGTTTTCCCAGAGTGTTTAAGGGCAGTTGCACAGTGTTTTCTTCTCTCATGCACACCCACAGCGCCTGATTCTGCTTCCAGTGTGAGGCTAAGTATGCAAGAGGAGTCTGCCAAGGGTGGGAAACATCTATGAGATTGCCCTTACACACAAGTGGGCATACCTTGAGTCTTTTAAGTTCAGAGTATTCACAAATTATCTTTTTGAGTCTGCTATTAATAGAATGAAATGTGATATTGTGCTCATTATTAACATGATGTAAACAGCAGAACAATCCATAAGAGAGATAATTAGATATAAACTCAGGAACAAACCACTGCCCCAAGGATCTCAAGAATTTTGGTATTGTAAAATCACATTTCGTTTCTTTATGGGAATCCATTATTACAGGGCCTTGATGTTTGGGACTCAAGTCACATATTCATAATGGTAATTCCTGCATTTTGATTCTTCTCTGGCAATGACACTAGAATTGTATGGAATTTGCACCTATTTATAGCTAATTGAACATAATCAATGATATTGGCTCTGCTGTTACTTTATATTATCCTTTTATTAGATGGAGATGGGGATTGCCTTTTTATCACATCAAATATGGTCATTTGGTAAATAAAGCACTGAAATTCACCGTAACATGATAATGAAGAAAGAAAAATTCAAACTAGGTGTTATTTTTGTAGAGGATACTATACAAATGCTTTAGGTTACTTAAACAGTGAGCTCTCCAGATATATGAAATCACCTTTACACAAGGAATACAGATCTCAAATCTTCATCAGAGCTGACAAATTATGTGCATGCACCAGTTATTCTTCAGAACTTAAGAGGAATCCATACAAGCAGTTCACAGCAAACATATAAACGTGGATTTTATTATTATTATTTTGGGTCAAAAGCACTTCAGGAACTTAGGGCTCAGGGTTAAATCTCAGTGCTGTACACAATAAGTAGATTTTCCATGTTATTTCATTCACTGGTAATTTCCAGGATAAAAACACTCATTCAATTATTTGTTGACATTCCTGAAGAAGAACTCGAACAGACGTTTTTAGCATTGTATGATCATCCATTATGTTCCAAAATTATCTGTTATTATGGATTAATGATATTGTTTCCATGATCAAGTGTGCAGGTATATAATAGTGTGAAGAAGGACTAAGGTAATCCAAGCTATATGCCCAGGGAGATAGCAGATATCTCATTCCTATAACATAAATTCATAAATTCTGTGATAGTAATAGCTTCCAACATGTACAACCTTGGTCATACTTTTTTGAGCACATGTTTATGTGCTCACATGCATGATCATGTGGAAGAATGTTAGATTATGAACCTGCCTTAATGTGGCTATTTTTAAAAAGATGATTTTGCCTAAGTCATAACCCCAGAAGAATGAAAATAAATGAAACTTGGCTTTTTCAAACTTATAAAGAAGCTTGAAATGTTTACATTTTCTCATAGCACTTGAAAAACACGTTTAGAAAGAGCTGGAGTATATTACTTTAAAAGAGTCCTTGCCCCTGCCCTTTTTGTTTGCCTCAAGAACATTTCTATGTCAAATCGGGAATTATTCTCTGAAGAATATTTCTCCTGAGATACGTCCTTTAAAATATTGTGTATTTTTATGTGAGAATGATACAAAAACAACAGTTTTAAAAGGAAACATTAGAAACTTTTAAGATTATGGAAGTTTTAAAGTGTATTGAATCATTTTGGCATAACTGGATTGTTGTTGTATTTTTCAGTCAAGCATGTTAGATCAATAAACATCTTTCAAAGTTACCAGTTGTTTTTTCTGTACTGGGGGCAGGGAGGCAGTCTTTCAGATTCAAAACTATACACACACACCCTTTAAACCTAGTTTACCATTATGGGAGCAGGGGGAAGGAAGTTTTTATTCCTGCCTTAAGCCAAATGGCAGGCCAGTTTCAAACAAAAGTGTAACTCCCAGGTGTCATCTATCTGTGGAAGAAGCGGTTTGTGCATGGAGAGCTGATGATGACAGTACAGTACAGTGGACCCTTGACTTACAGACGGCTTGACTTACAGACTTTTTGAGTTACAGACATCTCTGGCCGCAAAATTTAGGTTTGACTTGCAGACTGAGATTTGACTTACAGACCAGAAAAAAACCAAAATGGAACAAAAACGGCCTGTTACGGGATTAATCAGTTTTCAATGCACTGTAGGTCAATGGAGACTTGACTTACAGACTTTTTGACTTGAGAACCGCCTTCCAATACGGATTAAGTTCTCAAGTCAAGACCCCACTGTACTGATATAGATGCACACTGATCTCATAACATTCATGCAGACAATGCTAGAAATACACAAGGAGCAAAAGCTGTCACATTGGAGAGCTGGCAGATTTTATTTAATATCAGTTTGAGCTACCTTGAGTCCCATCTTTGTCAGGAAGGCAGGATATTATTCAGGATTTGATTTATACATTACTAAGGTGATGTGGCTGGCACTAAAAAAGTGAGGTTGACTAGTGAGTTGACTTTGGACCACAGGGCTGAAGGAAAACTCATTCTAAGCTTTGCCATCAAGAGCCATTGGGGTATTTAATCTCCCCACCCCTCACCCCAGTAATGGGGAAAGCATACAAGGCTATAGTACATCAACGAGAGGAAGAGCTTACTTTTACCCTTTGTACCAGAAAAAACACTCACTTTCAATGCTGTTCTAGTAATTTGGGAGTGCAGTTGCACACCATGATAATCCTTTTAGCTATCCCCTCTTGTAACGAAAGTCCAAAAAGCCAGTGGATCAAAGCATGTTAACAATTCAGGAGCAGATCATTTGTGAAGTTAATTGCTTCAGACATTTAGCATTACAACAGGGATAGTTTGCAACCATACTCTGTTCATAGGAATATCCATATCTATCCCCAGTTTCTGAGATGATTGCAGCTAAGCTCAAATGGAACAGGGAAAACTGATGAGTTGGATGACTGCATAGTTCCTGCTACTCAGAAAATGCAAGGACCTCAAATTTGTAAGCCCTGGGTCAGCTACACCATTGCTTAACTGTAAATGGCTGTTGGTTGGGACTGCAGAGCTCCAACCATTAGCAAGAAGGCCTTGAATTTGTGCGAATTAAAAGTACAGTGGAACCTCTACTTACGAACGTCCCTACCTACGAACAATCCAACTTACAAACAGCTCCGTTTGCAAAATTTTGCTTCTACTTGCAAACGGAGCTTCAACATATGAACGAAAAAAGCGTGAAATTTGAACTTTCAGTTGACTGTTGGCCAGAGAAGAGGCTGTTTGTCTGCTACTTCGCTCGTCCCAGCAGTTAGAGAGTGGATAGGGAGAGAGTCTTCAGACTGCCTGGTACTGTACTGTGCAGACTGTACTTTTTGGCTTTTTTAAATTTTGATTTTTGGATTTTTGACTTTTTTTAAAAAAACTATATCTAGTCCTGATTTTTTGAACTTTTCTTTCTTCTGCGCCACCCCAGTTCTGTAATGCCCAGCCTGATGGCGACTTCTACTGGAGTCAAAAGCAAGCTTCTTTTTGTGATATTTTAGTGACCATCTTCCCTTGTTTTTAGATCTAGTCTAGTTTTTTGTCCGGCTCAGGTGCTTACCTTGGCATGTGAGCTTTGACAGTACAGCCAATAGAAATGGCTAGGAAGCATGAATGAGTATTATTATAGTCTACCTATGGTTCAAACAGTGTTATGGTCCAGAGCACAGAGGCCAGATTATTGAGTGGCATTAGGAAACATGTACACATGTGCCCCACCCTGCAGTGGCTACCCATCCATTTCCATGCCAGCTTCAATGTGATGGTGTTAACTTTTAAAGCCCTAAATGGTTTAGGATCTTAATACCTGATAGAATGCCTCCTCCCGAGGAGATCTGCCCATCCCATATGATCTTTCCAAGCTGGGCAGTTGGGAATATTGACCCCAAAAGAGGCTCAGAAAAAGAGAACCAGAAACTGGACCTTCCTGGCAGTTGCTTCTCAGCTTTGGAACAACTTCCCACCCAAAATCCGCCTGGCCCCGTCACTGGAAATTTTTAAGCCACTGTTGAAATATGGCTTTTCTGACAGACCTTCCGGGCTTTACAACACCTTAATTACAACATTTAATTACAGTGAGTGGTCTCAACATTTATACTATCAGTCCTGCTGTCTGCTTTATATTATTTTAACTATTATTATTTAAATTGTTGTTTTATCTTTACTTTGATTTTATATTATGTTATTGTTTGGAATTGTGTGTGTTTTATTTGTTTTATATGTAAACAGCCCAGAGTGGCCTAGTAGCCAGATGGGAAATAAATAAATAAATAAATAAATAAATAAATAAATAAATAAATAAATAAATAAATAAATAAATAATGCATCTGAATCCCATTAAACATCAAGAAAGTAGCTTTTGCCTTCATCAGTGTAACAGAATACTGAATTGGACCATTTGTTTGTACTTCTGAACATATGAATTGCAGCTGCATGTCTAATTTCCATTAAAAAATAAATGACACATTTTTCCATTCCTGTAATACACAACAATGAGTACACAACTTTAATGCTCCATAATTGCTGTTTCTTTCCAGTGCACAACTGCACTGTGGCATCTTCTTATGACTGTAACACCATTGTGATTTGAACATACATGTAATAAAAACATGAAAAGGTACAATGTTTATCTCTACCTGACTGCCAGTTAGCAGATTTTATTTGTAACTGAAGGTTTCATTTTTTGTAGTCTCTCCCTTTTTCTTTCTCAAATATAGATTACCATTTTCTGAACTGGATGCCAATAAAACAAAGATAATAGCATAAACCTATACTATATTATCATGTATTGTGCCAGCTTATTATGCTGCAGAAACTGCACCACTGTACTTAATAATGAAAATCCTGGTCTGGCTCTAGCCCTGCATATGCAAAGAATAATATGTGTGGGAATGCACATTCAATGCACTGCCCATTTAATAGAAGGCAGTGCAGGTGGATCATTTCCTCACTTGGTCTTCTATTCAACTCGCACATAAAAAAAAAACCAATCTGATTTGTGGCCTCCTGTGATTGTAATACAATGAGCAATATTCACACACATTCTCACAATGCTGGTGTTCCTTAGAATGTGGCAAATTCTTGCTATATCTGGAAGTTGTTGCATTATTTCCAGAAATATTGAGCCATCAATCCTGCTCTGTATTTCTATTCTGTTTCAGGCTACCTTTGTCTCCTCATTTTGC